GCCGGGGTCATCCGTGTGAAGCAGCGGGGGTCGGCGCCAAACAGCAAGGCTTGCAGCTGCGCGGTGCTCAGGGGGGTGCCTGAGGGCAAGGCGCCAGCTGTCAGGAGCTGGGATCCAGGGTGGCGGCCCGCGCCCGCTCCCTCTTCTCCCAGCCTACCGTTTTCGCGGTGCCGCAGGGTTAGGGCAAGACCCAGGCCGTGCCAGGCCCCCGCCGGATGGTCCACTGCCAGTGTCAGGTAGCCGGTGTCCCGGGATAGGCAGAGACTCTGAGGAGATGGGAGCTCAGCCTGGCTGGGCGGAGGCGCAGGCTGCCAGCCCTGCTGTTCACTGCCCTTACCACCCCTTCCCGGTTCGACTCTGGACCCTGGAGCCTTTCCCTGAGGTGAAGACGGTTTACCCGCGCCCCCCCCCCCCATGGGTAAGGGTGACTGGGGGTGAAGGAATGCCCAACCCAACCCTGGTACCTGGGTGCCCAGCAGCCCGGCCCCTGTTACAGTGACCTCTGGGCCGGACCCGGGGTACAGCACCAGCAGCGCCATCTCTGAGGGGCTGATTTCTCCAGATGGAGGCTCCTGGAACCTCAGTGAGGGTGTTGGCTCCCAGATCACTGCCGCCAGGATAATGGGGAAGGGGGACAGTTGAGCCACTGAGGCCTGAGCCCCTGGCCCAAGCCTGTCCTTCAGGGAGGGAGAGCTCCACCCCAGCTGGGAGCCTTGGGACACTCGTGGGGGTTGACACCCCTCAACACAAGGGGCAGGACCTTGCCAGGACATGGGTGGGAGGACTGACAGGGTGGGTGGCGGGCTGCTGCCTGTCATCCCTGAACCCCTGAGGTCTCTTGGGTTTGGGGGTCTCCTGGGTGGAGGTCCACGTGTCACGTGGGCAGCCCCTTCCCGGAAGTGTATCTGAGGACAGGCCACCTCTTACTCTGGGCTACCTGCTGTCAGAGGGGCACTCTTCCACTGCTGGCCCCAACCCCATGGCTCCTTCCTGGAGTGGGAACCTTCCCAGGCAGTGCAGGAGGGGTGGTCTGGGAGCCCAGCATTCACTGGCAAAGATAAGGGCACACACCTCCCCGGCTGCAGACTCAGCCCAGCCCAAGTGAGCAGGGCCATAGGCTTCAGCTTCCCCAGGTCAGGAGTCTGGGGTCTTACTTGGGAAAATAATGGTCGTCATGTAATGGGAATGATGGCTAGGGACCACAGCAGAGGAACCTGCCCAGCCTCAGCCATGGGCCCGACGTACCTTCCTCCAGGTGCAGGACCACCAGCCGCTGCCCCCGGGGCTCCCCCAGCCACACTCTAAGCCACTGCAAAAGGGGCAGGGCAGCGTGCTCATGGCTAGGGGTGCAGACGCCAAAGGTGGCCAGGTCACGAGGTCCCCAGTGGGCTCGATGCACGGCCTCCAGGAAGGCCTGCTCGTAGCCCCTCAGGGCTCCCATCACCTGTAGGGGGGCACTGCTGCCGTTGCTGCCACCAACCAGCGTCACCAGGCACAGGGAGTCTTGCTGACTGCTTGGAGGCAAGCCCTGGGGGGCTGGCCAGTCCCAGTCTTGGTGGAAGATGAGACCCCCAGTGCCTGCAGGCTCCCCAGGCAAGGCTTCTTCTCCAGGGGTCCCAGCCCCCATCAGGGTCCCCATCGCCCATAGCACCAGGACCAGCCGAGAGAGAGGTGCAGCCCTCATCCTGGGAATTGTCAGGGGCTTGGCCACTCTGCTTATATGGGCCAGCCCAGGGTGTTTGTGCTGGAGGACAGCCCTATCGCCTCCCAGGAGGTGACCTTGGGGGCCAGTGCCTGAGCTGCCCTACAAGCCTGGGCCAGCTCAAAGCCCCTTCTGTTCTGGCCCCGCTGCCTATCTCCTTCCCACCAGTGATAGAAAGTGTGGCCTGTGACCGATTTGTCCAACTGTCCTTGAGTTTTTCTCTCTGGAGACAGCAGTGGGAATGTGAGCAGGGAGTGACCAACCCAGATGGACCAAACATCAACAGCTGCAGGGCTGGGCCTGGAGGAGGGCAGAGCCTCCTCCTTGAGGACCCAAAAGACACCAGTTCTTGCTGTGTTCAGACCTCCAGGTGGGTGGTCTCCAGACTCAGCTGGAGCTCTCAAGAGTCTCCTGTCCACTCATCCTGCCCTTAGGAATCAAGGTGCAAAAGGAACTCAGGCATCTTGGCCTGGAGACCCCAAGGACAGAGAACATCCTCTGCTTTGCTCTCCTCCCACAGGCTGGACCCCAGACCCACAGCTGGCTGGCTGGCTGGCTATGTCCGTCTTCCATCCTGGAGTTTCTAGGACACATGACTTGTTGGAACACCCACCAGTGTCCTGATGGGCCAGTGCAGGGGTGGGCAAACTTTTTGACTCGAGGGCCACAATGGGTTCTTAAACTGGACCAGAGGGCCGGAACAAAAGCATGGATGGAGTGTTTGTGTGAACTAATATAAATTCAAAGTAAACATCATTACATAAAAGGGTACAGTCTTTTTTTTTTTTAGTTTTATTCATTTCAAACGGGCCGGATCCGGCCCGCGGGCCGTAGTTTGCCCACAGCTGGGCCAGTGTCTTGGAAGCCTGACCCTGAACCACTCCCATTCCCCTACCCACCCACAGACACAGCAGTGCACCCAGGTGTCTGAGAAGGCTGTTTAATGAAATCTAGGGACACGGCATAGCCCTGTACAAAAACACCAAATTTCATCAGGGAGAAAAGACAGGAAAACAGGAAAGTAGACTTGCAGTGAGAGGGGGTGGCTCTTCAGTTGGCTGGGGGAGGGGGTGGAATGTTTCCAGGGCCCTCGGAGGGCAGCGGGGGTCTCATCATCGGGGGCATGGGAGCCGGGGGGTGGACCCCGGGATTGGAGGGATGAACTCCAGGAGGCTGGGGGTGAACCCCAGGAGCCGGAGGATGAACCCCTGGAGGAGGGGGGTGTACCCCAGGTGGCTGGGGGTGCATCCCTGGGGCTGGAGGGTGTACCCCTGGGGCCTGGGGGTGGACTGAAGAAGCTTGTGGGTGTACGCCTGGGGCCTGGGGGTGGACTCCAGCAGATGGGGGAGGGTGGACACCTGGGGCTGGAGGATGGACTCCTGGGGCTGGAGGGTGAACCCCGGGAGCAGGAGGATGAACCCCAGATGTTGGTGGGTGGACCACCGGTGCTGGGGGATGGACCCCAGGAGCTGGAGGGTGGACCCCAGATGTTGGTGGGTGGACCACTGGTGCTGGAGGGTGGACTCCAGGAGCTGGGGGGGGCAGTTGGGGAGGACCCGGGGGCCCTGCAGGTGTAGGCCCACTGGGTGGCATGGGGGGCAGAGGTAGGCCTCCTGGTGGGGGTGGAGGCAAAGACTCAGGCAGTGGTGGCCGTGGGGGCAAACCATTCATCAGTGGGGGTGGTGGCCGCTTCACCCCAGGAGGCCCAGCAGGGAGGCTTGGCGGGGCTGGAGGCTTTTCCATCTTAAAGTGGAACTGAAGAAAGAACTGGAAAAAAAACACAGAAAAGCTGAGTGGAGCCCCTGGGGGTCTTGGGAGGGCAGACAGGATGGCCAGGGCAGCCACCAGAAGTTCCTTGAATTGCTCGGACCCAGAGTGACTTACCTGCTTGGTTTCCCGGTTCCAGTGAGTCCAAAACTTGCCCTCGGCCTTGTCAATCTCTCTGCTTGGCACCTGCGAGGGGGGAGGGGTGGAAAATGCCTTAGGGAGCCCACGGCCCAGGGTTAGGCAGGGACTACTCCCCGGTGTTAGAGCAGGCCCAGCCGGGAGAGGCCCTCATGAAGGAATAGGGCTTGGTTTTGGGGTACCAGACACAGCTTACATTCTAGCTCTGCTGCCTAGTGACCCCCATCACCCCGGTTAAATAACACAGTGGGGCCTTGACTTATGAGTGTCCCGACTAACGAGTTTTTCGAGATACGAGCTGTTTATCGGCCGATTTTTTGCTTTGAGTTGCGAGCTAAAATTCGGGTTATGAGCCAGCTTCAGATACCCCACCACTAGTTGGCGCAGCGAACGTCACAGTGAACGCCACAACATCAGCCCAGCATCACGTGTCTCACTCGTTCACTTTAAGATTTGACATACGAGTAATTTGAGTTATGAGCTCCGTCACAGAACGAATTAAACTCGTAAGTCAAGGCCCCACTGTAGTTTACAATACGTGTTCACCAGTGTCTGTTAGGGCACAGGACACGGTCAAGGAATTCCTGACCAGCCCAGCACAGAGGCATGCACTGCTCTTGGTGGGGTGCCACCTTAGGGTGCCCTTTCCCACCTCAGAAGCCCCTGTTGGGAAGGACACCTCTGGAGTGGGCAGCACAAGCTACCTTGAAGGCGATGGTCTCGTAGGGCTCAGCAGCCATCAGCAGGTACTGCCAGCGCCTGTCTGGGGGCTCGATCCTCTGCTCGTAGGCAGACATGAAGCGGTGGCGTGGCATGATCCCGTCAGCGATCTCAGGATAGTCGATCTGCGGGGAGACAGCCAAGTGGCAGCACTGCTCTCCAGGAGCCCCTCCCCTCATGACTGGGCCCTGGGCCTCGTCTCACCTGGAACAGGAGGCTCTGCTGGCCCATCTCTGTGTCCCTCTGCTTGGTCACTGCAACAGACAAGGGTCTCAGGTCCAGGCCAGCTCGTCACCCTCCCAAAGCTCAGGACCCCGGAGGGCAGGACACCAGGGGAGGTCACCTGGCTGCAGGGCACCAACCAGGCCTGGGAGAGCTCTGTGCTATAGGTGCCACCTGCCCGAGACCATGCAGGTGGTGGTGGGAGAATGGCTCCGAGTTATCCTAACCCCCCGAGGCCTGGGACAGTACTGAGCAGGAAGTGAAGACAGGAGGCACTAGGTGTGTGGGGCAAGTGAGGGCTGCAACCCTGCCTCCAGGAGAGGGTGCCCTTCATATTAGAGTCCTGTGGCTTTTAGGCTGTTCTCTGCACAGCTCCCAGACACGTAAAATTTCCCCATAAACCCCCTGATTCTCCCCACTACACTCATGACAGAAACTGACAGTCTATCACAGCCAAAAGGCCTTTGGTGGCCCCACGTGGACCCTGCCATTGTAGCCCTGGTTCATCAGCAGGCCTGCCCCAAGGCCTTTGCATGCTGTGTCCTGTCTACAGTGGCAGACACACACAGGACACCCCCACATTTTGTTAGAACATAGTCCCCTATGTTCCAACAGGGCCATATAACCAGCTTTCTGAACTAAGTAACCCAGAGCCCTTTTCCATGCTAATGGCCCTGCTGAGTAAGCTGCCATTAACATAGACCATTACCCTCCCATTCCACTTTCTCTTCAGGTTAAGAGGAGCCAGCTAGTTCTATGCTCACTGCCCCTCCCACACGTCACTCATCTTCACTAGGAGTGCAAATAATTATGAGCTCTCACAACTCCCTGATAGGCGCACAGGGGAGTGACATCCACAAGGTCATGTTTGAGAAAGTTCAAATGGAGATGGGGCCCCAGTGGGGTGGGTGGTCTCTGAAAGCAATGAAAAGTATGAGCAAATGAAGGCCAGTGAATAGCAGTGTGTGTATGGCTCAGGGGCGGGACCAGGGTTCTGGACAAAAGGCTCACTCCTTCCCACACCAGCTGTGGGCCAACCTACGCCCAAACAGACTTACCTTTATAGCCCGGGCGGCCGATCTTCACAAACTTCTTCACTTCCACCTTGACCTTCTCTGGTGCTGGCTGGGCGGGGGCTTCCTTAGCCTCCTTGGCTGCTCGCCGGGCCCTGCAGGCATGATGGACACAGCGCTGCTGCTCCTTCACACACACATACACACAGGCTGCCAAGGCCACAGGCCCAGGTGCTAGGAGCCATCCTGCCCCCACATCGACCTTGGAGAGCCTCTGCTAAGTGAGGGCGTTGGGGGGGTGGGATTGAATGGGTGGATGGGTGGGGGTGGGGGGTGTCTCCAGGTTTGAATGGAAATGGATGGGACAGGCATGGGTACCTTTCTCTTCTTGTCACATTTCCCACTGTTCCTTACAAGGGAGCCTTTGGAGAACCCACACCTCTTTCCTTGCTAGGTAAGGAGCATATCCTGTTCCTCCCCTCACACTCGGGTAGCTGTACCCACCCACCCAGCCACCCAGGATGGGCAGGGCTCAATGTACTGATCACAGGACGAGCTAGCCCCAGACTACCTCTGTACCATTGTCTGGTGTGGCTCACAGAGATGTCGGAGAAGTGCCAGCTCCTAACCCCGGGGCCCAAGGCTTTGAGCAGGGAGTAGGGGTGACATACTCACAAGTTGGTCTGGTGCTTTTTCCCCTGGGTGTGCGCGAGGTAGCTCCCCTAGAGTGGGACAAAGGGAGCAGGGATGGGGCCTGGATGCTCCTCAACCAGGCCTGCTCTCCCTTCTGCCTCGTGGGAGCAGGGCCCCCATATCCACAGTGCAGAAGGGAGAGACCCTGACACACAAGGCTGTTCGTACACTGTCCATGGTTGTGAACAAATTCCAAAACAAAGCGAATGTTCGACAACACGGAAAGGACAAACAGGACCGGTTCATTGCTGCATGCTGAGCCCAACGTGAGAACTTGTCAGACTATCGTATCGATGACCTCACAGTCGTTAAAGGAAACGAACTGGAGCTACACCGCTAGACCTCAAAACCCAATGTCAAATGTTCCAAGATGTGCTCATAGATGCACATCTGTATAACAATGGAACCAATGGCATTAAAGGAAAGTGGACAAGCAGCAAATTCACAGCACTGGTGGCCTCTGGGGGCCAGGAGTGCAGGG